GGCTTCTATAGTAATCACATTGTAGACAAAGTCAGTGAAAGTAAAGAAAATCGTCACTGTGGAGAAACCTGCAGTCAGATACCAAATCTTAATCTGAACAAGAGAAGTCCCCTTGCAGTAAAACCATGTGAGTGCAGTTTGTGCGAAAAGTCTGCACGGGCCACTCCTCCCTTACCAGACACATCCCACTGCACACTGAACCCAAACCACGCGAGAATCAGGGATGTGGAGAGAAGCCACGTGAACACGAGGAAGGTGGGAAAGCCTTCTGATTCTTCCTTTCAAAGTCATGAAAGAACTCACACCGGAGAGAAGCCCTGGGAGTGTGAGCAGTGTGGGCAAGTCCGAAGACACATGGTAACAGACACAGTGAGAGGACGCACACTCGGGAGAGGCCCCGTGAGCGTGAGCAGTGTGGGGCTGTCAAAAACATCTACAGATGCACCCTGGATTGAAACCTCATTGGTTTTCAGAATACAGGAAATTTAACAAACACTTTAAAAAGTCATGTGAAAACTCACACTGCAGTGAAATCCTATAAATGTCTATAATATGGAAAGCCTGATGACAGTTCATGTATGGTGCTCTACAAAATTTATATTATGAAGAAAATGTAGTAAAAGTGATAAATAAATTAGTTTATCAGACCCTTATTTCCTAAAGTATATCTGTGGATTATTGATTTCTACTTTTTTTTTTTTGCAAAGAAACATTGAGGTGAGATAGTTCTCTAAAAACTCTTTAAGCAATGGTGCATGAGCTTAATAGCTAGTTTTATTTTTAGGTGAGTTAAACTTTTCTCTTTCCAATTTGAAGAAAAAAACATGGCTTTTAAAACAAAGCTATGTAACTTTAATTATAAATTGTAGAGGTAAGAGAGGCATTGGTAAACGACCACGAAAGAATGATTGTATCATGTAATGTTGAATATGCTATGATATGGGCATCACGTATTGCACACGGGTTTTGATATTCAACTCTGTACCCCACAGATAAGTACAATCAACTATGTTACAGTAGAAAATAAATAAAAATAAATTGTGACTGTCCTTCCCGTCACTAAGGTTGCATTTGCGTTAAACGCACCCCCCCCCCCAGGAGATACCATTTATCTCTCACATGGGGGATGTGCTACACAGGCCACTAGAATTGTGCAGATATTTCATGGAAACATTGCCCACTAGATCTTTAAAACTTCAAAGGTTGGCATTTTGAAAGTTTTATTGCATGCTGTAGTTAAATATGCACTGTTTTATAGAAAATAATGTCTTAGTTTTTGATTTTTTGGTTTTTGGCAGCTGGCCAGTACAGGGATCAAACCCTGGATTTTGGTTTTATCAGCACCACACTCTAACCAACTGAACTAACCTGCCAGATGGCTTTTATTTTTTTTCCAATGACAAAAGTAATCTTGTGAACATTTTGGAAAACTTGGAAAATACAGAAAAGTAGAAATGATTCATCCTAACACCAGCACTACCCAAACAGCCACTGCTAACATGACAAATTCTTTAATATACAACACCTAGAATAGAATTCCAACTAGTAAGTGTAGAAGAAGTGATGAAAGTATATAATTAGCATTTGGCAACCACACAGTAATTAGTGTTTCAGGCAAGAAATCATCAATGGATGTTAAAGGTAGTGGGTGAAAATATGAGAAACAGGATATTTACGTGGTTGTAAAGTATCTCCCCACAAGACAGTTATTAATCACAAAGAGAAAGAATGGTAGTGTTGTAGTGGGATACCTGCTGGTTGCCCCCTTGACCAAGTGACCATCCTGGGTGGTGGGGCAGATGTGACGCGCCAAGCACTGTCCTGTCCTCTGTGCTGCTCCTGCCCGAATGTGGGCACAGCCTCACAACACTGTCATGAAGTAGTGACATGGGGAGATCTGGATGAAGGTGACATTTTTTTAACTTTTTGCAAATCTGAAATTATTTCAAAACAAAAAGTTATAAAGTTTTTAAAATATATAAAAGAGGGATTTAGTGAGCAGTATTGAAAGTGGTGCAGGTCCCCTAAGACAGAAGGAGGCTGCTTGGGCTTGGTGGTCAGGTGTGCGTGAGGCACCATCGCCAGCCTGTGCACACGTGGGCTGGGAGGTGGGAAGGTGTCAGTGTGAGAGGCTCGACTGAGAAGGATGAGGACCTCTGGACAAGAGCCAGGTGGCCCCTGTGTCCTGTGGTTTGCTGGATGGTGGAGGGCGTGTGTAGGCTGAAAGCGTGTCACATAGAGAAGGGCACATTGAGAGGCAGAGGGGTCTGTGGACCAAGTCCACGGCAGAGGGAGGGGACGGACCTGAACCTGAGTCAGCTGTGGCATCTGTGTGTGAGGGAGGCTCTGGTAAAGAAACCCCCATCAGACACCTACCACAGGATGATAACGAAAGGTCCCCCAGGCAGGCCTTGCCTGGCTGTGCCAAACACTGGGACCCTCCAGAGTGGGGCACGGGGCTCCCCTGCATGGGCGCTTCACTCCGCAGTCTGTGGGCTTCCTGTGTGGGCAGCCCTCCCCCTCCCCACACCTGCCATTCTCTCCTAAGCCCCTGGGTCAGTGCCCTTTCCCTGGAAACAAGACCCCTAATCAGCGCAGTGCTGTGAGGACCAGGCACATGGCAGGATTACAAGCAGCAGACGGACGGATGGACAGTGTGTCTCCTGGAAGAGCATCCACACCTAGGAGCCCTCTGCACCTTTAAAGGGTTGCTGTTTCGGTGTGGTTCTTAGGGAAACAACATACTTAAACTTAGAAGTGGTCTTGGGCCGGCCCGGTGGCGCACTGCTACAGTGCGCCGCTTGGGAGAGTGGCGGCGCTCTCACCGAGGGTTCGAATCCCACATACAGACCGGTTCCCGCTCACTGGCTGAGCGAGGTGCGGGCGCAGCGCCGGGGGTTGCGATCCCGTTGCCGGTCCCGGTCCGGTACCGGCGCGACACTGAGGGTTGCGATCCGTTGCCGGACACGAAAAAAGACAAAAGGAAAAAAAACAAAACTTAGAAGTGGTCTAAACAATGCCAGGTGCAACCTGGAGTACACCCTGATATCAGACATATCTGCATTAAAACGGCCTTGCTATTTAAAATGATAGCTTTAATCTGCGTTGTTTTCAAATTGTCTTTTTGATTTAAAAAACATGACAAGTTTGGAGCTGTGGCACCCCAGGGAGAAAGCCGCAGCCCAGTGTGCTTCCCCCCCCCCCCCCCCCGGGCCCCCCCCCCCCCCCCCGTGGGTCCCAGACCCCTAGGGGGCCTGCCAGGCTCACCTTCAGCACTGGCCTCTCTGGGGATTGCCCGAGTCTGGGCGCTCATGAGCATTGAATAGGCAGGAATGGGGCTTCCGCTGGGTTTGCTTGATTTGGTAAGCGACAGGGTTTCTTGCTTTTGAAGCTGGTGGATGCGAGAGGACCTGCCGACGGCCGAGCCCTGAGTGGACCGCCGGCGGGTGGGGTGGAAGGTCGGGGAACGGGGGGTCGGGCAGGGGGCAGAGGG